AATTTTGTTCATGGTTTTAAAGGTAAATTCTTACTGTGTTGCTCAGACTTATCTTGAACTCTTAGGCTTACATGATTCTGCCACCTTAGCTTCCTGAGTCACTTGGATTACAGATGTGAGCCACCATGCCCAGCTTCAGATCTTTTTAAATAATTAAGGGTTTTCAGCTATAAATTTCTAAGCACTGCTTTAGTTACATTCATACATTTTGGTATTTCATGTTCATTTTCTTTCTTTTTTTTAAAAATTAAATCATAGCTGTGTACATTAATGCAATTATGGAGTACAATGTACTGGTTTTATATACAAGTTGTGTTCATTTTCATTCATCTCAAAGTACCATATTATGTCCCTTGTGATTTTTTCTTTGATCTTTTTATTTTTAAAAAATGTTTCATTATCATATATTTTTGAGTTCTCCAGTTTTTCTTCTTATTGACTTGTTTTCATTCTGTTTTAACCTTAGAAGATATTTCATATGACTTTAACTTTTAAAACTTGTTTAGATTCATTTATGGTCTAACACTATAGTCTATCCTAGAGAATGTTTCATGCGCACTTAAGAAAAATGTGTATGCTGGTGATGTTGAGTGAAGTGTTCTGTACAGATGTTAGGTCTTTTGGTCCATATTGTAGTTCACGTTCTCTATTTCCATTTTGATCTTCTGTCTTATCCACCGTTTTATCCATTGCTTAAGTCAATAATAGCTTTCACAAAACAGTTTAACAATACACAGACATTAGGAAAGTGGTAAAAGATAAAATGAAGTAAGAAAGGAGATAAAAGCCTTTGGGGCAAAGATTGTTGCTGTTAATGGAGGAATTAGGATGATGGCTAACATTTTCTTTGTTTTTTGATACAGGGTCTTGCTCTGTCACCCAAGCTACAGTGCAGCAATGTGATCATAGCTCACTCCAACCTCAAACTACAGGGCTCAAGTGATTCTCCTCCCTCAGACTCCTGAGTAGCTGGGACTATAGGTGTGTGCCACCATGCCAGGATAATTTTTAGATATTTTTATAGGTAGGGTCTCATTATGTTGTCTAGGCTGATATAGATGTTCCCCTTCACTCACTACCACCAGCATATACATTATTCTCAAGTGTGCATGAAACACTGAAGCAATACTCTTGTCTTGGCCTCCCAAAGTGCTGAGATTACATGCATAAACTACTACGTCCAGATTGAAGAAGAAATAAAAATTTCCTGAGGAACAAATTACCTCATGTGAAATAGACTGGGTTGGGCTCTGCAGATTTCTGCCACAGGTTACATCGATGAGGAAAAAGAATGAGCACTAGGTGGCTCCAGTGAGAAGTGACAAATTTGTACAAGAGATTGGAGCACTTAATTGGGTGCACCTGAACATTAAGCAAGAGCAGACTAAACTTTATTGAGAAGGTATGCTGTAACATATGTGCAAAATTCACATCTCACTTCTTTTGTCTTGTTAAAGAATATGTTTCTTTTTTAAAAACCTTCTGGCCTTCTACCCTGCCATTTAAGAGATTATTATATTGTTAAGAATGTAGGCACTGGACACTAACTTTTGATGAATAAGCATCCAAACAAGAATTGGAACTACTCATCATTAGTACTGATATTCCCCATCCTTCCTGAACTTCTGATCATTCAGTTCCTGAACATCTGATCATTCAGGTTTATCATGCAGATTTCTTTTGCCAGAAAGATAGGCCAGCTAGTTTCTTAGTTTATTAATTACATATTGAAGGTTTTCAGGTTATGGTTAAGCTACTTACACTAGTCTAACAGTGTTCCTTATAAGTAGATCACTAAAATACCCAGTTGACCAGAAGGCTAATGTAACTTGGAGCTTGTGCAATCTAACAAGAAAACAAACTTGTTTCTCTCACATTATAATATGTATAAAGCTGCCTGGGAGAAAGACAGAATATATGTATTATTTCTGCTGGGTTTACAGGAAGACCTTTGATATAAGAGAAACAGTATTAGGAAAGACAAACATGGAGGCAGGAGGTCACATGAGGGTATTTATGGTTCTTATTTTGGGGAAATAAGGAAAGACATTAGGAAAGATATTTCTCCAAAGGGCTCAACTCTTGAATGTGACAAAATAAAAAACCTTTCTCTGTTGAATTTTCAGAATGATGATCTGGAAAGAAAAAAGTGAGAGGAACTACTATTAAAAATGGTTTAAAGGGATGATCCATAGAATTTCTTTGCCTGCTTATTTGGTTGATCTTAAAATTTGACTTTACCATTACTTTGTTTTGCAAAATTGGGTTATTACTAATAAAATATTGTCTAGAAACAAAGCAAAAAAAAAAGTTTGTACTCTCCAACACTAGTAAAAAACTACTTAGATGAATAGGCATAACTTTGAACTGGGAATCAGTTTATTGAAAGTAAATTGTTTTGATTGACAAATATCTGAAGAAGAGTATTATACACTTTGGAATTTTAAGAACAAGTTTCATTTAAGAAATTTATAAAATATCTCAAACAGAAAGTATGTCAAAGGTAAGCTTACAGTAATACTCTATTTACAATAAATGATGAATTGTCTCAAAAAATAATCTAGATTATGAAAAGGAAAAATGTTTAAATTTCACTTTTGTAACTTTCATAATTATACATTAACAAACATAACTGAGTGCCTAATATGTAGAGGTACTATTTCATGTGTTTGAGATACATTATAAATAAAATGGTTAAGAACCCCTGCCCTCTTTCCTATCTTTATTAGCTTGAACACTTTTAGTAGGCAAGGAGACAGAAAATTAACTCCTTTAGAATTGCTAGATGAGGCATCTATCCGCTGGAATAAAAGACTACAACTTGGTAAGGACATCAGCCAGCTGGGAAGAGAAAGGGTGCATTCATGATTAGAATACAGACTATGGTCTTCTACCAGTGATGTACAATATGGAAAGACAGCTTGTGGTCTTGTCTCAGTCAAGCAACAGCAGGTAAAATCTGAGTGCCAAGTCATGGAACTTTGTCACCTGGCCTCCTGATAAATTATTCAGGCTGCCTAGGTGAATTAATCCCATCCAGGAAGTACCTGATCCTTAACAGCAATCCCAATCATAATCTTAAAAGATTCTCTGTAAAAGAAGGCAGGAAGGGAGATGATTCTAAGTATCTTTTTAAAGAAAGTGTCTGTGTAAAACTTAAACAAATGAAAGACTTGCTTTATAATACCAAATATTATACAACCAGAGTAATTACACAGCGGTATTTTAATTCTCAGGGACTATGGCACTAGCTGGAGTTGAGCAATGTCAGTCTCCCCATCATCACTTTCTCTCCACGTGTTATCTTATCTACTCCAATTGCAGATGCATTTTCTAGGCAAGGCTGCTGGAAGTTCTAGAGTCACAATGTAACTTGTTTATCATGTCCCATTTCTCAAGTCCTACGGGGTATTCTCATTTTCCAAATCCTTCTGTGAAACATTTAATACCAGGCCAGAAAGATGAGTATAGTTTCTCAGAAGAGGTATGTGCCAACCCTGTTCAGAAAAGGATGTGTTACTAAAATAACAGAATGTAGAGAAGGGGTGATAAGCAGCCATATACAGTATCTTTAAAAATGACAATTTAGCATATGAAGATACTTAAAACCAGTAGAAAAGTGGTGAATTAACCAAATGACATGAATCATTAGCTATTCATCCAGAAGAAAAAAAATTATAGACTGTGTAAATTAATGTATCAAATGACATCATTGGAAGCATCAGATACATAAAGGCCTTTACTTTGTATTCAACATGAAGTGATAAATATTTTGCCATACCAGTACAATAACAGATTCAGAAAACAATGGTGGTGATCTGAGCAGAGAAGACTCAATTGACAGCTTGATTTAGTCTTAGCAGAAATTAATTTATCATAGGCATTTACACAAGCAAGTCTGATGGTGTGCTCAGCAGATGGGATTTTTAGCCCCACAGTATAGAGCACTATAGAGGGTCTTTTTACATCTATTATTTTCCTACTGGAATGTCAAATAGCTAGGCCATGGCAAGAGCCCTCAGATCAACAAAAAGGTAACAAGGTCCATCAAATGGAGTATTGGCCAGAGCTAAGAATATCCTTGTTTTATCCAAGGGGAGGAATGACCATTTTCATTTTGGGGTCTGCATAACAGCACTCAGTTTGAACAATCACAGCATCCTAGTGGTTTCAGCTAGCCAAACTATCAGTGAACCAGGCCTAATTAGAGTAACCTTGATGAACAGAGGGTTCCACTAAGCCAATAGCTTTGCTTCAGGTGGCAAAGTGGATAAAAGGGATAGCTGTTACTATTTCATGCCATTGATGGCCGCAGAGATAGTGAAGATGAGTAAAATAGCCAGTTGGTCAGGTCAGCTAATGGAACTTAGAGACTGTGCTATCTAACAAGAAAACAAATTTGTTTCTCTCCCATTATGGTATAAAGTTTCCCTGGTATATTATTTCTGCTGGGCCTCCAGGGATCCATTTAACATACGACAAATGGCTTTAGGAAGGACAAACATCTGGAGGCAGTTTCTGGAGGCTACATAGCTGCAATCTCAAACATTCCATTTTGATTTCACCAGCAAGGCTTGTTGGCTCCCTCTCATTTTGTTGATTGTTGCATTCAAGATGACACACCCTCAAAGTTCAATTTTAGGCCAGAAGCCTCTACTTATGCTAGATATGTCTACTGTATAAAAGAGCCCAAGAGTAAACTAATAGCTGCTTTTCAAAAGGAGTGAACCTGGTGACCTTGCCAGGGCAACAAATCAATCCTCCTAGTCCCCACTCCCAAAGGCTGCCTGTTTGCCACAGGTTTCAATAACACAGAGATCTGAAGCCAAAAGTGATCATTAGAACTGTGGGACATCAAAGCTACCTTATTTAACTCAACTCTTCCTGATTAGGAGAACTTCCTCTATGACTTATAAGGAATATAGTAAATAACATTAATTACTCCTACACTTGCAGATATAAAAGTAACCATACCATATTCCACTGGGTCAAAGGGCTGTATCCATAGGTTATATATATTTTCCTACCCTACTTACTTAGAACCCCATGCAACCTAGTGAAATCTAGGTCCCCTCCTACCCTTACCTTAAAGCATGGTGTCTTTTATTTTGGAGAACTGGATGAGGTATATACATCATGGGCATCCACATTCCTGTAGTCAGTCACAAAGATTCACTTACATGAAAAGGAAATTGGGATTTTGCTAGTTATGTGTCCATAGGAAAAATGTAATTGCCCTTATTAAACAAATTACCAGATTATTGATATGTGAGTTTTTTAATAAGGCATGGCTTCATTAAGGATTTTACATAATCCCTTGCAAGAAAGAGAAGCCTGTGTGAATTCTTTGATGTACTTTGAGAGTTGATTTTTGTACAAAATTCTTCCTATATTAATATTCATATGGTTTCTCACTATGTGAATTCTGATATGCTGTGAGTGTTGATTTCTGGGACTATCTTCTTACATTAACTACAATCAAATGCTTGTTCTTATGAGTATCTCGATATCACTTGAGGTATTCTTTTTGTCAGAGGATGTTCCTGTCATTACATCAATAAGGCTTTTCCCCCTCCTGGAATTTTCTGACATACATCTAGGGCTGACTTCTTATATAATTTCTCATTTTCACTGCATTCATAAGATTTCTACCCACTGTGAGTTCTCTGATGTATTCTAAGGTTGGATTTCTGGCCAAAAGTTTTCCCACACTTACTGCATTGAAAGGGTTTCTCCCCTGTATGAATTCTCTGATGATCACTGAGGATTGCCTTTCGGACAAATTTTTTCCCACATTCATTACATTTATATGGTTTCTCCCCAGTGTGAATTCTCTGATGAACTCTGAGGGTTGATGTCCGGGCAAAAGTTTTCCCACATTCATTACATTTAAATGGTTTCTCTCCTGTGTGCGTTTTCTGATGTTGAATGAGATGGTCTTTTCGCCAAAAAGATTTTTCACATTCATTACATTGATACATTTTCTCCCCACTATGAGTTCTCTGATGTATTCTGAGGTTTGACTTTTGGCCAAAGGTTTTTCCACATTCATTACATCGAAAGGCCTTCTCCCCTGTGTGAATTCTGTGGTGATCTCTAAGAGTTGACTTCTGAACAAAAGTTTTCCCACATTCACTACATTGATAGGGTTTCTCCCCTGTGTGAATTCTCTGATGCCCTCTGAGGGTTGACTTCTGGACAAATGTTTTCCCACATTCATTACATTTATAGGGTTTCTCTGCTGTGTGGATTCTCTGGTGTGTACTGAGGTGTGACTTCTGGGAGAAAGTTTTTCCACATTCATTACATTCAAATGGTTTCTCTCCTGTATGAGTTCTCTGATGTTGAACGAGATGTCCTTTCTGACAGAAGGATTTCCCACATTCATTACATTTATAGGCTTTTACCTCTGAGTGAGTTCTCTGGCGTACTTTGTGGGCTGATGTTTGGTAGGATTTCTTATCATGATATTCTAAGGACTTATCCCCAGTTTGTTTTGTGTCATTACATACCAATGGATTTACTCCTTTGACAGTTTTCTGAGGTTGGCTGAGATGTGATTTACTGTTAAAATTATTTCCATTTGCATCACATTCATAATGTTTCATAGTAATTTTAAATCTGTTGTATTCTTCCACAGCTGACTTCTCAACAGAGTTATATAGGTGAAGATAAGGGTATTTTGCACCTATGCCAGTTATCCTGTGTTCAAAGAGAGTTATTTTATCACAGTTTTTCCTAAGTTCATCATCTTTACAGGATTTTTCACCTGTGTGAGAATTCTTATGTGTAACATAGTCAGTCTCACCATTAAAAGTTTTTCCAATTTCACTACACTCAAAAGACTGCTCCAAAGTTTGAAATTTCTGAAGCTCAGAAAGATTATCATAACCAAGGACTTTCATGTTTTTACTATATTTATACAATTTCTCTTCAGTCTGAGTTTTCTCAAACTTAATCTTGAAAGGTGAATTCTCACATAAATTATGGCAACCTAGTTTCTTTGGAGAATGTTTCCTATTATTAATGATAAATTCGGAAATACTCTGCAAACTTACTCCCCATGAGTCACATCTGCAGTATACTTTTGTTGAAGGAACAGGAGCTATATGCAGATTAAATGGTTTTCTCAAAAGTACTACTTCCTCTGTAGTAAATATTTTATTTTTGGCAAATATTACTTGTTGTAAGTGTTTGATTTTCTTGTTCTTCTTGGTCAGGTCATCATCTCTATAATTTTCTAAAATGGAGAAAAATTGAACACATCTTACTAATATTACATCTCTCATTGCTGTGGCTTATAGACACACCACCTATGTTGCACTTGATTCTTTGATTTCTCAAGATTTCATATGTATGTGAGAAAATATATCCCTCCAACATCCCTCTTTTAAAAAATAATACTGACATAGTGCAAAGGGAGAGGAAACTGGTAATGAAAACACATTTCCATCTGCCATGTGATCAATAAGATTTTCTTATCTGTGTAGACAAAGGAAAGAAAAATACTGTAGTTTTATAGAGGTGGTTATTTCACAGAGCAGTAAAGTCACAGTTTTAAAATAGGATGGAATCACAAAGAAAGTAAACTTATCTACACTAACAAGAAAATTAGGAGGTAACAGTATTCATGGAATAGGGGCACAAAGAAAGGGTTTAGGTTGAGGAAATAAATTCCCATGTAGGTCCTAAGATTATCTAGATTATAATGGTTAGAATACTCAATTATCTGCCTTATTCCAATTTTATATCCTTCATCAATTGTTTTTATTTCAGATTAGTAAGATACAAATGATTAGGTTACATTGTCTGTGTTTCATAGGTAAAGTTCAACTTGTAGTGGAGCCCTTTACCTGGGGGTGTGTTGTAAACCCTTACACTGTAAAACTTAGGTGAGAGCTTATCAATCACCTTCCCTCCTTCCCTTTCCCTCTGCCCCTCATTTGAATTTATTTGTGTTTTTCTCTTGTACGGGCATGTAGTTGTTTATCTATTGGTTTCATATTAGTATTGAATACACTGGATAGTTGTTTTCTCATTCTTGTGATACTTTAATAAGAAGAATGTGCTTCAATTCCTGTACCCCTGATCAATTCGTCAACATCAAATTAAATTTACAACTGCACCAACCTCCTTATTAAATGAAAAAGTTTATAGTTCAGATGCTAACCTATCTTACAGCCGTGATTCACAGAAATACAAATGAGTATAAAACTGAAAATCCATTCTTGCAAATGAATTAGATTCACTCTTCTATTCTGGTTATGATACCTTTAATTTATTCTATCAGAATAAAATGATAAGTAAACCTGACCATCCCATTCTAAGTTTATACATTTCAATCTGACATGAGGAGTACAACTTTAAATGAGGTACATGTAAGGCCTTACTATAAAGACGACATTTAAGGAACATTTGAATCCTTTGGGAATTTTATATGCCTATCTTTGACAGCTTTATACTGCAAATATCTGCCACTTGTAGCTTACTTCTTAGCATTTTAACATTGAAACACTATATATCCACATAAAAATTTCACATGCAACTTAACTGTACTGACTAAACACTCATGGAATCAGAAGCTATGTTATGAACCAGAATACAAATGGCTCTGCAAAAATCCTTATTTATCCCTACCTTATTACAAGTTCTTTATGCTTGGTGTTCAACACTCTCCTCATATAGTAGAACCTTTGTAAGTTGACTACCCAAGGAACCGTAAGAAATTGGTCAAGATAAGGAACTAGGCCTGTTGTATTAATATGTACATGGAGTGCATGTCTAGTCTATGAAAATCTGATCAACTTAAGGAGGTGGTCAATGGAGAGAGGTAGTGAACTATGGAGGTTCTACCATATTTATGTAATCATTTCCCTGATTTTCTTGATATTTTTGCCAATATATAAATTCCTAAAAAATGGAGTTGAGTTTTGCCTATTTCTCACCTTTACATAAATGTAACCATGTGTGCATATCCTTTGTTTTCTTTTGCTTAAAATTAGGTTTGTAAGCACTGTAAAACATTTTATGCAGCTATATATTTCTCCCTAAAGAATACAATGATTTCTCCATTGATGAGGCAAATTTTTGGCAAATATAAAAAATATCACCATTAATATTCTTTTATACATTCTAACAGAATATAGTTAGAAAAGGAATTGCTTGGTTACAATGTACAGAAAACATTACCTGGATTAAAAAACCCTCCTGACATGACAATGGTTTTACCAGTTAGTGGGTAAGTGTCTTTAATATTCCATAATCTCACCAGGACTTAGTATTGTCAGATTTGTTAATCTCATTTTATACCAGATCTCTCATTCCACTTCATACCTTACTTGCTATTTTATTATGGATGCTATGAAAGCTAATGAGATTGAACACATTTTCAAAGATTTAATGGCCATTTTTAAAGTTCTTGCTCAAAGTCTTTTGCCAGTTTTCAATTGAGTTGCCTACCTTTACTCACCTTGATTTCCAAAGTTCTTTACGTTTTCAGGAAACTCATACTGTCTAGGTTACCTGCAGTGTCTACATATTGTGATACTCCATGGCTTATCTTTTTCCACTCCTTTAATGGTATCTCTTATGACCAAAGTGCTTACTTTTAATGGACTCAAATTCATTGATCATTTTCTTTTAAACAGTGTTTTTTGTCTTTGGGCTTACTAACAGAAGTCTTGTAACATCATAAAGATGTTCACCCCACAAGTGACTTTCTAAAGTCTGACTAACTTTGTAGAATTCTGTATGCTACTGTTAATAAACTCACTTGGACGCCTCTGGCTTGAGAATTCCTCTTCTGAGGACCAAGGCTCTTCTCCTTGCTCCAATCTGAAGATCACTTTCGGTTTGAAAATGCAATAGCCTGTAAATAGAAAACAATTGGGGCCAGAGGCCAGATATATGAGCTTTATGGTCTCTAAAACAGAAAGAAGATATAGCTTTAGAAATAGCATCCTGAAGGTGCTCATTTGTATCTATCACTTGCAGTGGACAACACTTTCTTCTTAGTTCTTAAAAGAATTTTCTTACTTTAGACTTGAATAAAAAGCCTGAATAACATTAAATGTTAAGTAAAGTGTTCATGTCTGTGCTTGACAAGAAAATGCCTTCTATACGGAGTTACAAAGCTAAGTTATGCTCATATGCTCACCCACTGAGACTAGGTTGCTGTAGTTCTCCAGCATCACATCTCTGTAGAGATTCCTCTGAGCAGGCCCCATTTGTTGCCATTCATCCTGGGTGAATTCCACATTCACATCCTTGAATGACACTGATGCCTATAACAGTACATTTCTGTTCAATCTGAATAGTTCAGAACTGGGTGACACAGATATTTATCCATTATCATTTTTACTATGAAGAACTTAAAACAGACAAGTGAATAAAAAAGATGCCTATTTTGCGTCTATTTTATACTTTGAAGGTACTCAGTAAAAATGCTATAACACAATTAATCTGCATATATTGATGAGTTATACAAATGTACTATCAATAGATACATGAGTAAAATCTTTTAAATTCTTATTTTTGTAGACAAAAACTGTAAATAAACTTCCTGTAATTTTTATTCCACTCCCTGACAGGCCATTTACAGAAACAGTTTATGAACCACTAACAGAGGAGATTTCAGTGATATAATTAATCTCTGCATAACAATATTCTGGTACACTTTTTACATTAAAAAACCCAGACAGGATGTCTTATTAAATTAGAAAAAATTACAATCATGAAGCATGTTAGCTCTGGATATTAGCTCAAAGATAATTGAAAACAGCAATGCTAACATCCCTACTGGAGCATAGCTGGGAAAACTGAAATTTAATGTCTTTTTTGAAAGTATCAGGAGAGTGACGGGCCCATGCAGGGAGAATTAGAACCTGTTCATTTGCTTACTATAACAGATGATACCAAATTTCATATAAGAGAATAAGGAAGATGAAACTAAAAAATCTTAACAACTTGTTAACAGCCAGGTATGTGCCAATATGAGTGTGCTAGCACCACTCCTAGGGGGATTTTGACCTTGCTACAGTATCAAACAAAAAATCAAGACAGTAATTAGAAAATACATTGAGACTACTAAAAATGAAAACAAAAAATACAAAAATACATGAGATGAAGCTGTGATTAGGGTAAAATTTATAGCTACACTACCTACATTAAAAAAGATTTAAAAATCAATAACCTGACTGCATACCTTAAGAAACTAAGTAAAGGTAAGGACACTGCTACTGACCTTACAGAAATAAAAAGGACAGTAAAGGAATACAATGAACAACTGTACACCAACAAATTAAAGTAGATAAAAGGAAAAATTCCTAGAAACACACAAATTACCAAAACAGGCTCAAGAAGAAAAACATTTATCTGTATAGACCCATGTGTAAAGAGACTGAATCAGCAATCAAAATCCTACCTATATAGAAAAGGCAAGACCAGTTGGCATCGCTGGTGAATTCTACCAAACATTTAAATAACTAACACCAATACTTTTCTAAATCTTCCAAAAATAGAAGAGGAAGGAATATTTCCTAACTCACTCTATGAATTACCTTGAATCACAGCCAGATAAAGAATGCATTATAAAACAATGGTTCAATATCCCTTATAAGTACAGATGCACAAGTTCTTTTTTTTTTTTTTTGTGACAGAGCCTCAAGCTATCCCCCTGGGTAGAGTGCCATGGTATCACGCTCACAGCAACCTCCAACTCCTGGGCTCAAGCGAGTCTCCTGCCTCAGCCTCCCAAGTAGCTGGGACTACAGGCGCTTGCCACAACGCCTGGCCATTTTTTGGTTGCAGCCATCATTGTTGTTTGGCGGGCCCGGGCTGGGGATTCGAACCCGCCACCTTAGGTGTATGTGGCTGGTCCCTTAGCCGCTTGAGCCACAGGCGCCGAGCCAGATGCACAAGTTCTCAACAAAATACTAGCAAACCAAGTCCCTCAGAAATAAAAAGGACTAAACACACGACCAAGTACAATTTATTCCAGGAATGCAAGTTGGCTTACCATAAGAAAATCAATCAATGTTAAGCATCACATTAACAGAAGGAAAAAATCAGGCTGCTTTGATCATTTCTACTCATTGTATAGGAAGGTCTAGCCAGAGGAAACAGGTTAAGAAAAAGAAAAGAAAAGCATATAAATTGGCAAGGAAAAAGTAACACTATCAATGTTGATAGACCACATGATTTAATGTATAGAAAATATTAAAGTGGGAGGCCAAGGTAAGAGGATTGTTTAAATTCACAAGTTCAGGACCAGGCTAAGCATGAACAAAACTCCATCTCTTCTAAAAACAGAAAAATTAGTCAGGTGTTGTGTGGGCACCTACAGTCCCAGCTAATTAAGAGGCTGAGGCAGGAGGATGGCTTGAATCCAAGTTTGAGGTACCGTGAACTAGGCTGATGCCATGGCACTCTAGCTTGGCATCAAGGAGTGAGACTTGGTTTAAAAAAATACTAGAGAATACACAAAAAACTAGAAAGAGCTAATAAGTGAATTCAGCAAGATGAACATACAAAAATCATTAGTATCTCTATACACTAGCAATGAACAAGGGAAAAATTTAGAAAACAATTCCATTTATAATAGAGTAAAAAAATTTAAAATATTTAGGAATAAATTTAACCAAAGTGCTTGACTTATACATGATTGTTAGAAAACACTGCTAAGAGGATTTAAAAAGGACATAAAAAAGTGGAAAGACATTGAATGTTCATGGATTGGATGATTTAATATTGTTAAGATGGCCAATGAAAATGATCCACAGAGTCAATAACATTTGTATAAAAATCCCAATGATCCTTTTGCAGAACTTTTCATTGTACAATTTATATAAAATTCTACTGGAACCTGAACATTCTAATGAAAAAAGAATAAATTTAGAGGGATCATACTTCCTGATTTCAAAACTTACTATAATGCAACAGTAATCAAGACAGCGTGGTACAGGCATAAAATAGAAACATGTGGATCTATGGAATAACTGAGAGCCCAGAAACAAATTCATACATCAACCATTTGTTAGGAAATTAATAGTTTTCCAACAAATGATGCTGAGATAATTAAATAGCTGTATTAAAAGAATAAAGTCAGACTTTTACCTCCTAACATATTAAAAAATTACCTTAAAGTGCATCAAATCTTTATGACCTCAGATTTGGCAATCTTTTCCTGGATATGACACCAAAAACACAAGACATCAAAGAGAAAAATAAAATTTTGTGCATCAAAAGATACTATTAAGATAGTGAAAAGAATAACAGAGTAGAAATATTCACAAATCATACATTTAATAAAGGTCTAGTCACCAGGATACATTAAGTATTCTGAACAACAAAAAGACAACCTAATTAAAAAATGGGTAAAGGACTTGGATAGATATTTCTCCAAAGATGATAAATAGCCAATAAACATAGGAAAAGATGCTGAGTATCATTAATCGTTAGGGAAATGCAAATCAAACCCAAATGACACACCAATTCATAATTTAAAAAAAAAGGAAATAACACGTGGTGATGATGTAGCAAAAGTAGAATGCTAAAATACTGCTGATGGGAATGTAAAATGGTCCATTCACTGAGGAAAACAGTTTGACAGTTACTAAAAAAGATAAATGCAGAGATACTCTATGACTCAGAAATTCATTTGGAGATTTATTCCTAAAAGAAAACATGTGTCCACACAAAAACTTGCAGAGAAATGTTGCTAGCAGCACTATTCCCAATAGCAAAAATGTAGAAACAATCTAAATGTTTATTGATGAATGAATAAACAAAATGTGATATATCCATACAAGGCAATATTATTCAGCCAAATAAAGAAATGATGTACTGATAAATACTACAACATAGATGAACCTTGAAAATAGTACACTATGTGAAAGAAACAAAGACCACATATCATATAATTTCATCTATCAGAAATTCTGAGAATAGGCAAATATAGAGAGATAGAATGTAGATTACTGGTTGTTTAGGGCTGGAACTGGGTATGTCAGGATAGGGGAGGTGATACATAATGACATGAAATTTCTTTCTGAAATGATGAAAATGTTCTAAAATTGACAGTAGCAATGACTGTACAACCCTGTGAATATACTAAAAAGCACTGACTATACACTTTAAGTGTGTGAAATGTGTGGTATGTGAATTATATCTCAGTAAAGCTGTTAGCATTCATATGTAAAAGCCACCCACAAAAAACTCTAAGAGTCTTCTGGAGATTCTTTTAGACTAGTGTTTTTCAACCATTTTTATCTCACAGCACACTTGAACCTATAGTTAAACTCTTGCAGTATACTTAAATTATGTTGATCCAAAAAAATAAAAGATTAAAAAAAGAAAGAATATACTTACCAGGCTTTGAATTTCTTTTGAAAATAACTGAATTAATGATTTAGGATCTTCTCTTGGCATACCAGTTGAAAATGATTATTCTATCTAGACTCTAGAAAAGACTACCTGAAAGGTATTTTTCAAACATTTAAGGAAGAATTACTAGCAATCTTAATCTCTTTTACGAACAGAAAATGAGTAATTGTTTCTCAACTCATTTTATAAAAGAATAACATTGCTGCCAAAATCTGACAAGACATGATATGACAGGAAAAGTGAAGGCCAATATTTCTCCACTAATGTAAACACAAAATACTAATCAAAAAATTAATAAATTGAATCCAGAGATATACTAATAGGATAACAGATAACTTTACATAAGCAGTTAAGAATTATGCCAGAAATGCAAGTTTAGTTAAACATTAATAAATCCACCAATATAATTCACCCCTCCCACAGAATAAAGGAATAAAATTATATGATTGATTATCTGACTAGATATAAGAAAAGCATGTGACTAAATTTCATACACATATGTTATAAAAAAAAAATCTTAGGAAACTAAAAGTAGAAAGGGTACTTCCTTATTCTAATAAAAGGGCATGTACAAAAAAACCTATAGTTAAAATAAGATTCAATGGTGAAGTAGAGTACTTTATCCCTCAAGTGAGGTATAAGACAAGAATTTCTATTATTACCACTTGTATTCTGTTTTACCAGAATTCATAGTAATGAAGCTAAAAAGAAATTAAAGATATAAAGATTATAAAGGAAGTAAATTGTATTTATTGCAAAATATATTACTGGGCACATTTAAAATCCCAAAGAATGTAGAAACAAGGTATTAGAATAAATGAATTTGGAAAAACACCTAAATATAAGATCAATACTAAAAAATCCATTGCGTTTTAAGAAGTAAAAATATACTGCAAAATGACATTAAAAAATTACCATTTGCACTAATATCAACATAGATCAAATACCTAGTAATAAATCTAATGAAAGATGTCAAAAACTTCACCTCTATTCTGAAAAACTTCCCAGCTGAATTTTTTGTGGAAACTGATAAAAATTGCATGAAAATGCAAAGGATTTGAAACAGTAAATTCTGGAAGAAGTAGAATTTGGGGGCCTATTTGGGAGCCTAATACTATTGTACATGCTATTTCCCAATTTACTTTAAAGCAATGGTCATTATGACAATGAAGTACTAGCAAAAAAATAAAATAATCGAAACGAATACAGTCTAGATTTTGCTTCACTTATATATAGTCACTTGATTGACAAGACAGAGGATGAGTTTTTCAACAAATGGTACTAGAGCAACTGGGCATGCATATGGAAATGTGCACCTTGATACTCACCTTGCATCAAGCACAAAATGTGCACCTTGATACTCACCTTGCATCATGCACATGAAGCTAAAATAAGTACACAGTCACATTGTAAGACAATATCTTAATGATCTTGAAGTAAGGAAGTATCTTTCAAACATGACACATAAAAACTACCATTAGTAAAGAGACTGATTCTGATCTTTATGAAAGAACTTTGTTATCAAAATATATTATTAAAGAAAAATGAAGGGGCAAGCTACAGAATCCAAAAACGTTAGCAGTACATAACATCTAACATATTTACATATTGCTCACTGATAAAAGGGAAATAATGGGATACCGGGAAAATTAAGCCCTGATCTGTAGCATAAGCCTCACTTCCTGCTTGAGAGGCCTAGAGAATCAAGAAGATGGCATGTGAGTTATGTACCTGCAGATCAGAAAACTGGCCTTCAAGAGAGAATTTATATGTGAGGTATGACAATAATAGTTATGGTAAAGATTCTCTAGATTCCAAAGATCTCTTGATGTGGGAGGCAGAGGTTGTGCTCAAGATCTGCAGTTTTGCAAAAATGAAGATGGAGACATTCTATCTGACTTTCTCCACGTCCTCCCTAATCAGTGCTAATGTCAGACAAACAGCTTTTGTCTACTTCCTCCCATTTTATGATAATAAATATACACTTAAAGTTTACTTGGGAGGGTTCCTCCCAGAGTTCCTTAGTCCCCTAACATGGACATTGTGTCAAACCTCTTCTTTCCTTGTATCAAAAACCCCCTCATCTGGTCACCCCAAACTCCTTCAAAAAAGTATTGTGTACAGAGAAGCTGGATTTCCCCTCCTCTTGAACAAAGAGCACAACTATATGATTCTATTTATATAATGTTCCAAAACAAATTTATTGTTTTTGTTTTCTAACATGTGAGGTCAGAGTAGTTTGCCTCTAAAGAGGGATGCAGTGGTTATTAACTGGGATTGGCAGGAAGGCAATTTCAAGGCTGATGAAAATGTTCTCTAACTTACTTAATCTTGGTGCTAAATTAGTTACACGGATATACACATAAAAAAAATCCATACAGTCACACACTTAAAAGAGTACACTTTACTGGTACTGAAATTGTGCCTCAGTTAAAGAATTAAATAAATAAAAGTGCATACAAGAGAAAAATTTAACAAAATCTGTATAGTTGATAATTTAGGAAGATAGGAACACACTTATTGCATTATTTCTATCTTTCTGGATTTTAAAAATATCTCAATTCCTTATATCCTTATATTATATATAGAAAATCAACCAGGCTGCTGTGAAAAATTTTCAAGATCATTAATTATTTTTGAAAGAAGTTTAAAACACAGTAAGTATATTCTTTTTTGCTCTTTTATTTGATCAACATAATTTAAGTGTGCCACAGAAGTTTAACTAAAGGTTTAAGTGTGAGATAAAAAGGGTGAAAAACACTGCCTTATATGAAGAGAAAATTTAAACATAAACACGCATAAAGGGAAGATGATGTGATGATGGACAGTGACAAGCCAAGGAAGGAGACCTGGAATATATATTTCCCTAATTGCTCTGACAAGGAATCAAACCTGCTGATATCTTCATCTTGGACTTACAGCCTCTACAATGCTAAGAAAATAAATTTCTGCTTAAGCCATCAGTATGTGATACCTTTATTAGGGCAGCCCTAACAAACCAGTACCCCCATTTTAATGGTCACAACATCGATCTCCATCCCCATCTCTTTTATTCCCTAAGAGGAAGTCCAAATGGTAATGGGCAAAGATTCTTACTGGACTTCGCATGCCTTCTTTAGTTTGTTCTCAAAATGCAGTAACCTTCCTTACTTTGCAGCAATAAAACCCCAACCACTCTTTAGGACTGACGCAACCCTTTTTAACTCTTCACTTTTGATCAACTGAGCCTACACGATCCCTCTGTCCTTTCTTTGAAACATTGACAGTAACCTGAAAAACTGTAGTAATAAAAGCACCACTCTGGCACTACGCCCTCCACTTCCAATGAGGAAACAGTAGAAGCAACATACTGCATTTATTTCACTACAGTTACTGCAGAGATTTGCACTGTCACCTACCTGAAAACCAAAAGATATTTTTCTCAATTTCAGTGACTTTAGATTCCACGAGGAATCAGTTTGGCTTAAGCTTCTCATCAATGCAAATCTTTAAACAAATATTATGTGTCTGACTCTCTACAATGGCTAGTAAAAAGAATGAAAACTGAATCCACACTATAGAAAATCAGTACCCTCAGAGGACTATACATCTTTCCATATACCAACTCCACTGTGCTACTTATTCACATGCTTTTTTCTCTATCTTTCCTGAATGATTCTGATCCATTTCTATTAATATTTCTACTTTTCTATATTAGTATCTGGATTCTTAAATAACTATAAAATCCATGATAAAAAATGTTAATGAATAACTCACCTGAGATAGGTTCATTTTCTGCTGCTCTTGGAAGAGTGTGGACAACTGTAAAGGATAAGCTGGGGGTAAGGAACGAGTCATGAGCGTTCTGGTTAGCCTCAGTATTAAATGGCATCAAAATCTCATCCTATAAGCTGGGGAAAAGTGCTCCCTCTGGAAGAATACATGTTGCTTTGACCCTTCAGAAGGAATAGGAAGCACCACGAAGAGATAGCAACTCCTGAATATGTACATCTCTAATGTGGATATAACCTTACTGTTTTTTTAATTAGGTGATTGTAAGTTATTTTCCTATTGATTTATTAAAAAAATGTACGTCCTCTTTGGCTAATTAACAAAAAAATCAAAACAGAATATTACACCAACAGAAAATTAATACCACATTGGGAAAAAAAGATAGCTGCTTAAAGACAGACTACTTTAAAATCTCTGTGTTCTAACTTGCTGCAGTTTCTCAAAAAGACTTTTAATAAAACACTTCTGGTGATTAACCTGTGACAAGAGTGATCAGCATTGTGCTTTGCTCCAAGCTCTGTCCTGGGTCACCATGAACAAAACATTCATCTCAGATACAATACTGTTTTAATTTAAAAGAGACAAAAATAGAAATCTTTCCTACTTATCACTCTGTGATCATGTGATGTTTAGGACAGAGGAAACCTTAGTACATGTCTAGAACGTCCATGTGATGAATATAGTGTGAGCAACTATAGTGAGCAACTCAGAATCCAGAAAGAGTGAGGGAAGGTGAAAGGGGACTCTATGAGGAGGATTAAAGACATAATTTCCTCAGTGCTGGCTGGTTATATCTTCTCAGACACCATGAAGAAAAGCCCTCCAGCAACATGGGTTTTCCTGTGCAGTCTGACAGTCATTCATCCCTTTCAACCCCAGCTCACCATCTCTTGCATGTTGGTCCACAGAGTTCACTGTCACACAGTCTGGGATGGTTTGTGGATGTGGCGACATCACCAAGTCTGGCTCTCTCTGGGTCAGGGGATTAAGAACTGTTTCTGTCTGTTTCCACTTGTTGGTTGGAAAAATAAAAGAACTGCTTCTGGTGCAGGTAATCAGGACCTGTCCCTTTTTGAGTTCTCCTCTTCTGTTCTGAAGCTCTGGTGAGGGCGCTCTCAAAGACCTATTCTTCCAAGTGGGACTCCTGTCCCTGGGCTCTCTCCTTCCTGCCACACGAAGTGCAGAAGCTGGGACTTAGGCCTGGGTAAGAAATTCATTTTAGTTGAAACTTCATGTAAAGCAGTGTTCTCCACCTCAGCACTATTGAGATTTGGGGCTGGATAATTCTTTGTCACAGGAAGCTGTCCTATACATTGAAGGATGTTTAGGAGTATTTCTGAATGTTCACTAGACACCTCCCCTCTTAGCTGTGACAGCTTAAAATATCTCTAAACATTCCAAAGTTTCCTTAGGAGCAAAATCACCCCGGTTGAGAACCACTAAAATAAGGCCTGAACCTGATTCTCTGGGAATTCATTAGACTCGTGCTATCCATTACTGTAGCCACTAATCACATTTTCTACCAAACACTTAAAATGTGGCTAAATGCCACACATTGAAATGACTTTCTTGGGTATATTGAGAAAAACACAATATGTTTTTAAAATTAACTTCACATTTATTTTTAGATTTGCATGTAGCTACTAGAACATTTAAAATTGCACTTGAGGCTCATATGATCTTTCTACTGGACAGCACTGCCCTAGAATATCAGACTGTGCCTTCTGGAGATAAAGACAGCCTGGACAGTGCAGACAGTGGCAGAAGCCTTAGTCTGACCCAAAGGCTCTAGAGATACGCCAGATATCCCAGAATAAACATATTTGCCACATAGTAAGAGTCTGTCCACACTTGACTTCACAATCACAGTCCAAGGGACTGAGGTCAAGTCATTCAGTTAGTGTTGTGAAGGCTGCAATGCTGAGTTAGGCAGAATATTAGAAACAGCCTCATCTGGGAAGTAAACATCTGTTTGTATTGGCAACCTAGTTCCCTTACCCTTTGTGACTTGGTTCTTCATCATTTTACCCCTCATTCTTCTTTTTTGAGAATGCAGTGGCAACCTGTAACTCATGGGCTCAAGCGAACCTTCTGTCTCAGCTGCCCAGGTCGCTGGGACTGCAGGCGTCCAACACTGCTGCCTGGCTAAATTTGTCTATTTTCAGTAGAGACTGGTCTAGCTCTTGCTCAGGTCTCGAACTCCTGATCCTCCCATCTAGTCCTCCCTCATTCTTCTTTTTAAATGATATACCTGTACTTCAAATAGGGTGGCTGTGAGAATTTAAAGAACAAAGTGTCCTCCACATAGGACAGAGCTAACATTCTTACATGTTGTTAACTAGCACTTGGCTAAATACTTTACAGGGGATGACTTATTCTTCTAATGTTCACGAGCTGTTTTTACTAACCTCATTTTCAGATGCCCAATGACAGATCCAAAATTTACCGCTTCCATCCTAACCTCGGGCTCTCACCACACATCACTGGCCGCGCGCGGTTTGTGGCATGATAACCAACGTGCATTCCGGTCTAGCTGCTGGGATGGGACAGCCTAAGGTCGGCTTGCCTGCAGTCTGGCTCCCCCACCTGGGCCCGTACCCGTCATCTTTTGACAAGGACTTAGCCCCAATTTCGCCCCTGTAACCCAGCCTTTCTGAGCGCGAGAGGTGGGACTAGCCCGGACACCTGCAATTAGGGCCGAGGGGAATTCCCCGGAATGTCCAGTTCCCGCCGCCTACACACAAGCGCGTACCACTATGCTGGTCAGCAAGCGGTGCAGAAGCCCAGTTCCCACAGCCCTTACCTGAGGTACAAACCCTCTGCAAAGCTGGTCCAAGAAGAAGCTGGAAAAATGAGGCTGATTGCACATGCGCAAAGGTCACACTATTCATACCCAGAAAGCTGCGCGAGAAACCCTACCATTCATGACTACATTTCCCACAAAACACAGCGCACGCGTGCCCCTTTTTGGCAGGGAGGCGGGTACTAGGGAGTGCGCTGGTGCTGGATTTGGAAGATTTAGGGAATGATATGTTATTGACAGTCTGTTAGGACTCCAGCTGTATAACGTAACAGCCAATGCAATGAGGGAGAGGGGAGAGAGAAAATGAATTTGTTAGGTTTAGGTAGTGATAACATGTTATTAACTATCTATCCGGAAACCCAGAGCCAGGGTTTGTCAGAGCACTCGGGTATGGCATACCAGCAAATGCAATGTGTGGGCCTTGAGCAGATCCTGGTTGCAGAAAACAAGAGCTACAATATATGGACTGGACATTAGAAATGTTAGGAAAAGTAATTGTAAGTAACATTGAAATCATGTAGGTAATTTTATTTTGTTTTTAAGAGATGCATATTAGAGTATTTAGGATATTATTATGTTTGAAATTTCCTTTTTAAAATAAGAATTAGAAATGACAAATACGGAAAAATGTAAAGCATTTTGAAACCTATAGAAATTAAGTATGTTTAACATTTTCTACATTTTGTAGATAATTTTGTAATATGAACTTTGTATTTTGTCTTTTTGACATTTATATATATGGAACTATACCAACTTTTATCTGAATAAAGACTTATAGTAATGATCAGAAAAGAACTGATAATGCATGAAATAAAATGTCTATATTTAGAACACATAATATTATTAAAATACTTAAAAATTTATCCCAGTGTAGTAAAAGTGCAACTCCAGGATAAAGAGAAAGTGAGGAGGTAGCTGTGTTTTAGAGAAGGCTTTTAAAGCAGCGGAAAGAGATTATTTAGTAACCTAGTTAGAACAAGGAGATAGGTGCTGGAACAAAGTCAGGATATATCTACAGCCATAAAATTACAATCAGTTTCACAAAGATTCAAGCTATAAGCAATTCTAAGAACAATTTCTAAGTTTTAAAATTTAAAATTCTACATTTAAGTTGTTAAGGAAAACAAATGATTTTAAGAGAATAAACCCCTAAATTCCTTTCCAAGGAAACAATTGCCCTTCACTCCTATCCAAAGCCTGGAGACCTCAACCCTGCACCTGCAGAGTCAGACCATCCCATTAACCAGCAAATGTTTACACAGAGAAATTTTGAGGCTGTAAAACATTCTTTTACTAGGATAATTGATCTACCTATTGAAAGGTAATTGGTGGTTTCCAGTTTTTGACAATTATGAACAAAGTTGCTTGTAATGTAACACTCACTATAGGTTTTTGTGGAAAATAAATTTTCAATTGACTGAATCTTTTTTTCTTTGAATTGTCTTCTGTGTCTATTCTTTTGCATATGCACTATTTGTATTACTCTTTATAGAAAGCCTTGACATCTCATAGTGTAAATCCTACAATTTTGTTATTCTTCATAATTGTTTTTCCCTATTCTATTTCCTTTGCCTTTCCTTAAACCATTGCTGAGATTTGAGACAATTGACATTTTAACAATATTGAGTCATTCATTCAATTCATGAAAATAGTATGTTTTGTGTAAAATTTTGATACTATATATATATATATAATCTTGCATATATTTTGGTAGATTTGTACATAAGTCTTTCTTTTTTGTTATAGTAAATAGATCTTTAGAAATTGTCAAATTCCAGTTGTTCATTGCTAGCATATAAGAATATGACTGACTTTTGTATACTGACCTTTTATCCTGCAAACTTACTAAACTTGTCAGTTAAAATAGCTTTCTTTTTTCTTTTTGAGAGACCAGGTCTCAATGCTGTTGCCAGGGCTGGAGTACAGTTGTGAGATCATAGCTCACTGTAGCCTTGAATTCCTAGACTCCAGAGATACTCCTGCCTCAGCCTCCTGAGTTGCTAAGATATCTTGCATTTTCTTAATATACATAATTTGTCTGCAAATAGTGACCATTTTGTTTCTTCCAGATTATATGACTTTATTTTTTTTCTGTTGCCTTACATTAATTGATAGGATGTATAGGGTAATGTTGCATAGGATTACTAAGGGATCACTGCTAGCCTGTTTTGTGCAGCTATCACAATAAGTAAGGCTGGTAAAGAACAATTATTTAGTTTTGGAGCCTGACGAGTCTAAAATTAAGGTTTGTTTTTGTTCCAAGCTGGCACCTTGAATGTATCCCCCGGGGTTGGGAGGGAACACTGTTCCACATGGCAGAAGAATGAAAGGGGGAAAAGAGGCAAGAGAGGGCCAACATTGCCTTTTCATAACTGTACCAATTTAATCCATGAAAGTAGAGCCTGCATGGCCTAATAACCTCTTAAAGGCCCCATCTCTTGATACTATTTCAATGGCAATTAAATTTTAACATGAGCTTTGGAGGAGACAAACGTTGAAACCACAGCAATCACCTTATTGAGTTCTTAGAAAGTGTGATAACCAAGCCCCCTACCCTTGAAAAAGAAACTTCCTTTGAATCCATTAGTCCCAGCCCCATCAAAGATGAGGAGAACTCTGAGAAGAGGCCTGAAGATAAGGGAGTGTGTAGGGAGGGGGAAGAACGTCGAGGAGAAACTTGAAGATAAGAAAGTGTGTAGAAAGGAGAGGCCTGACATACCCCTGCCCCCCTTGTACTATGCAATTCCCCCTGCCCAAGGCTAACATCAATGATTCAGCTTCTGTACCTCTGCCTGCTTGCTGTAATGCAGAAATAGGGTATAAAGACCCATTTGATCTGTCATTCGGGATCACTTGCTTCCTATGGCAATGACCCCCTGCAGGTGTAATAAATTTCTATTTGCATAAAAAGTGGGGTCCAGGTATCTTTCTCAGCTGTGTGAGTCTCAAGAAAAGTATGCAGTCTCTCATCATTGAGTGTGATGTTAGCTGTATGTCCTATGTAAAAAGTTCTCTTCTATTTTTAGTTTACTAAGAGGTTTCTATAATAAATTCATACTGAATTGAATTAAATACTTATCCTTCAACTATTGACCTGTCATATAGCTGTTTTTATTTAGTCTGTTAATATTGGGAATCACATTTATTAGAAATGTTTTTGTTGCAATAAAATACATGAAACATAAAACAACCATTTAATCATTTTTGAGTATACTATTTCAAGTGGATTTCTTATAAACATCAGAGGGTCTTGCTTTTTATTTTGAATCCAATGTGACAATATCTGTCTTTTAACTCATGTGTTTAGAGAATTCACATTTACATTGATTGTTAATATGCCTGGAGCAAAACATACAATCTAGCTAGTTTCTATTCCAATTTTTCACTTTTTATATCTTCACTGTTTTTAACTAAGTACTTTTAATTATTCCATTTT